AGCTATGATACATTCCGATACTAATGCGCTTGTTGTCCCAGACCTCATGAGTTTCTGATTTTTTAGCTACAGTAAACCGCCCTAGCGGCGGTATCTGCTATAAACTATACGGTGGCTGTTCTTCTTTTTTGTTTCTTGGAATTTGCTTAGGATATACCTGTTTCGTGATCTCTTTACATTTCCAATAGATACCATTTCGTGATGGTCACTGGTATTGGCTGGATCCTCTTTGTATGCTTTGTCCTATACTTCGAGGATATTATATTGCTGTATTTATCTCTTCAGGAATATCTGTGGACCTATTTTAGCATAAAGAAAGTTCTTCTCGTATTGTGGTATAAGTAATGATATCACATGTGTATCTTGCCAGTGTACTCCTTAAAGCTCATCTTATCCCAATTCATTTAAGATATATAGCCTCGGTATCTGTTTCTCATGTCGTCCCGCATACCACTGTAAGATATATATAAAGGGATCTCCTTGTTGCACCGTAGCCACTTAGAAGTACAACATTTCGACGAGATAATATATGAGGGAAGGAAAAAGGGAAAGAAAAAGAAAATTGAACACAGGCGGGTAGTATTCACCCTGTGATACTTTAAAGCTCCTTCGACGACGATCCTATAGTCACCATGGCCCAATGCTGTTGAGAGCCAAAAGCTTTGCCTCTGACTTGGAAACTTAGAATGCCATAATGATGTGCATTGCATGTATTGAGAGTATACCGAGCTACTAGTAATCGACCTCTGCCTGACATCGACAAACAAATTGTATCATTGTCGCACATCGTGGCTGGGTGGAATGAGTCGTGTTCAACGCCAATAGACACGCACATTCCCTCCATACTACATGACTAGGTTGTTGGATGCAAGTAGAAAGATCGAACTGATACTGACAAGCATGTGAGTCTGGAATCGAAGGATAAAGATGTGGTATTAAGATGAGGTTGCTACAAAAGTATATAGAGGCAATTGTCTTGGCCAATGTGTATCTGCGCCAAACACCTTGCTATCGCTGACAACGCCGGAGGTAACAGTCATAAGAAAGGGTCGTGATATCGCACTACAGTATGATTAGCCGAGCCCGCTGGCCAAATCTATCAGGAGATCATTGGATCAACGTCTCCGTTATTGGCCATGAGAGTATCGTTAGTGGCGCCGTTATGACCCTTGGTGTTATTATCGTTGAGGCCCAAGTCTAGTTTTTCTGGGACATCCTTCTTAGCCTCACGGGCCTTTTGTTCCGCCCAGGCACGCAACTTGACAAGGTTGCGCAATCGGGCTTCTTTACGAGCGCCCTGATTCTGCAGAATGGCTTCGTTCACGCTAGTGGCTATATCTTTACGCAAGTCAGGGTGTAGAAGAGGAGCTAGAGCAGGTGTAAGGTTCTCAGTGGGGAAGATGAGGAGCGCCAGCGTCCTCTCAAGATCCTCCAAGAACTGAGGGTTTGTGGGTGCCCGGGGTGCAAGTTGCGATGTCGCGAACTCAAGGGCAGGAGTGATATCTCCATCGGGTTTAGATGTGCACGAGCGAATCAACTCCACAAGTTGCAAGCGTAGCAATGCAAAATGCAGGGGTGGGTTTTCATCCAAAATCTATGCCAGTAAAGTCAGCACAAATTCTCGAAACGTGAGTGGTGACAATAACAATGACAATAATGTTATGCTGATCATACTGAGGACTGAAGATGTTTGTTTTTCGTCAAACCCCAAAAGAGGTTTTACGAGTGGTGCATGAAACTTGGTCTAATCATAGCAAAGGCCCATGGGAGGTGGAGATAGTGGAGCGAGAAAATTCTTACCTGTGGATTGAGCTCGTTGATCTTTTCGATGGCAGCTTTGATATCCCCCGAGTGAATGGCAGTGCGAATTTCTACTCTTTCTTGAATAGCCTCTACATCTGCCCTGGGTTGGATGTTGGCCTCCAATGCGAACTTCTTCGCAGCAGCCGGATATCCATTGGTGATAAGGTAGTCCATCACAAGATAGTTAATGTCACTACAGACGAGATGTTAGTCAAATCTGTGATCGAGTCGATAGACCAAAGGCATGTAGCAAAGGCGACCATTTCAGAAAGACAAGTTAAATATGTTCTCCTCAAGTGATTTCAGAGAGATTCCCAACTTGATTCAAGGTGCATCATTTGGACCGACGGTGTCGGAAAGGGTGGAAAAAAAAAACAATGGGAGACTCACGTCTTGGATGGCTTGACCTCATCGACCTTCCGCTCAAACTGGTGCCATGTTGGCGTTGTTGTCGAGGAAGTGGGAGACATCTGCTTCCGTTAAAACCAAGCGACCACGCACGCACAACACGTCGGGAGGCATACGTAATTAGCAGAAGCCATGGTTTTAGAAGTACTGGGATATGGCAACACTCAATTGCTGTAGTGTTGCTGGATTGGCCGCCTGTGAAGATGGGGAGCTTCGCAGACGGGAGCCATGGAGCATGTTGGGAGGAAAGAGAAGTGAAGAAAGAAGAGGAGAAAAAAAGAGGAGGGAAGCGGCGGGTTTTAGGTCACGTTGATAGCTAGCTAAGACTAGTGTTAGCCGCAAGCGAAGGTCACGGACCACCCTAAGCCTAATAGGGTTAAGACCCAACAGACTAGGACGTTTAGCCTTTTAGGGTATTGGTGCGAGTGACCGACAACTGATTATTCTTCTTATCAGTCCCCAAGCGCCAAAACGACGCTGGGTGCTTGCTTGGTACTCTCAGTATTTTATGTGTATGATCTGAAAGTATTACACTACTCCGTGCCAGCAACCTAAATTTTCGGTGAGGTCCTAATCATGGAGTCGATCTCACCCGTATTCTCGTCGGGCACGGAGCAGCGGTACTCTCCACCATGGGAGGACTTGAGTATCATCGGTATCGCTGGTAGCTCGGGCTCGGGCAAGACTTCTGTGGCAATGGAAATTGTGAAGTCACTCAACCTGCCGTGGGTTGTGATTCTCGTAATGGTAACAATACACTTCTTCTGTTCAACATTAGAGTTTAATACAATATCAAATGAGCCTGTGCCTCTAACGCTACTTGTATAGGATTCATTCTACAAGAGCTTGACACCAGAGCAACACGCCAAAGCGCACAATAACGAATTTGACTTCGACTGTCCAGATGCCTACGATTTCGATGCCCTTGTGCAGACCTTGAAGGATCTAAAGCAAGGGTACAGTGACCCACTTGTCATAAACTGTCACATCAAGCTAGGGAAATGCGGCCCAAGGCTAACGAGTATGCCATAAAAGAAAGAAGGCAGATATCCCCGTTTACTCGTTTGCCGACCATCAGCGCCAACTGCAAACAACTACGCTTTACTCCCCCCATGTGATTATTTTGGAGGGTATCCTTGCATTACATGACCCGAGGGTGCTGGAACTTTTGGATGTCAAGGTATGCCTTTGTAATTTGTCAACGGTGTCTCAGAAAGCTCACTTTTCTTCTACTAGATATTTGTTGAGGCGGATATGGATATCTGCTTGGGACGCAGAAGTGGGTAATCTCTCTGACATTCAAAACGGCCCTTCTCTAACGCAAGAGGAGTTAGTCATGCGAGACGTTAAAGAGCGGGGAAGAGATATTGAAGGCATCATCAAGCAGTGGTTTACTTTTGTTAAGCCGTCGTATACGAGATTTGTTGAACCACAACGGTCTATATCGGGTAAGTCGAATACGCCCACCTCTCGAGAAACTCTCTCTGACCTCAACCTTCAGACCTTATCATTCCCCGTGGCATTCAGAATATCACAGCTATTGGTAGGTAACTTCTATGGGCTTATCTACGACGATACTAATTTTTTTTAGACATGGTTGTGAAACACATTCAACGGAAACTCGATGAGAAGTCTGAGAAGCATAGAGCAGAGCTAGACCAACTACGCAAAATTGCGTCGGAACTGCAGCTGTCGCCTAACGTCATGGTAATGCCTTCGACATCTCAGTTTGTTGGCATGAACACAATCCTTCAAGACCCAAAAACGGAGCAAGTCGACTTCGTATTCTACTTTGATCGACTCGCTTCCTTGCTCATAGAGAAGTGAGTCAATTGCGCACGCGACACAGAACCACATCCCCAATCACCCCTTGATCCCCTCCATTAAGGCATGGCAGAATCGATACGGATGACTGACGTATAACCGAAACAGGGCCTTGGACTGTACCTCGTATGTTCCAGCCGGAGTAGAAACACCACAGAAGACTATCTACCAGGGCTTGAATCCGGAAGGTATAATATCTGCTGTTGCAATTTTGCGAGGAGGCTCTTGCCTTGAGACCGCGTTGAAACGCACTATCCCCGACTGCATTACCGGCCGCGTGCTCATTCAAACCAATGCACAAAATGAAGTACCAGAGCTACACTATTTGAAGTTGCCTGAAAACATCCAGAAGCATACCACAGTTATGCTACTTGACCCCCAGATGTCCACCGGAGGAGCTGCCTTGATGGCTGTTCGGGTGTTAGTTGACCATGGCGTGGAAGAGCACAAGATTGTCTTTGTGACATGTGCCGCAGGAAAGATCGGGTTAAAGCGTCTCTCGACAGTATACCCGAAGGTTAGAGTCATCGTAGGGCGGATTGAAGAGGAGCAAGAGCCAAGATGGATGGAGAGGAGGTATTTTGGCTGTTGAAATGATTTGGCTGTACCTATCATCAAACTGTGCGAGCTGGGAAGCATCGCTCTAGAGAGTCATGACAATATATATAACGTCAAATGAATAAATACCACTATAACTATAGCTGTGTTTCGGCGAACGTGATTGTTTTGAGTTAAGATCTACCATACTAGAGCCAGTACGAGTAGTACTAGTATGTGCGTGTGCACGGACCACATCCAAGACCGCCGAAGAATCTTTGGTTCCGCCGCCGCAAAAGAAAATTACCCTTATCACTTTCTATCAACCGCAAGAAAAAGTCAAGGCTACAAACAAACAGCCTTTGACTGTGTTTTTATTCTCCTGATAAAATATTTTATTTGTTCTTTCCTTATAACGTCCCATCACAATGCCAGACCAAAAGAAAAGCAAAAAGAGCGGCGGCGCCAAAAGACAAGCCGACTCTGTCATCAGTATGCGCTCCTCGTCTCTTCTACGCTGAAACGGCCATAACTAACAATTCTGCCTGGGTATAATAGCCGATCCTCGTTTCGCCAATATCCAAACAGATCCTCGTTACCGTCTACCTAGCAAACGGCAGACACATGTGAAACTCGACAAACGTTTCGCGCACATGCTGCACGACAAAGACTTTTCTCGGAATGCCGCAGTCGACCGATACGGACGGAAGCTCGCCCGCGATGATACGAAGAAGCAACTGGAGAGATTCTACCGACTTGAGGGGGACGAGGAAGACGAGGAAGACATGAGCGTGGCTGATGACGATGAGGTCCTTAAAGAGCTGAAGAAGGCGGATAAGGCTAGTGGCACTTACGATCCTGCGCGTGATGGGGGCTTTTCGTCTTCGTCCTCGGAAGAGGAGAGCTCTGACGAAGAGGAGGACGAGGACGATGAATTTGGCCCGGGCGAGGAGCTTGAGTTTCCGGATAAACAACAGAGCGGCGTCCCCACAGGTGATGTGACGGAACGGATTGCGGTTGTGAATCTGGACTGGGATAATATACGGGCAGAGGATTTGATGGCCGTATTCTCTAGCTTTGTTCCTGCTGGTGGGCGGGTACTGAAGGTTTCTGTCTATCCGAGTGAATTTGGAAAAGAGCGCATGGAGAGGGAGGAGACGGAGGGCCCTCCAAGAGAGATTTTTACTGCGAAAGACGATGACGACTTTGAAGGTTTCGAAGATGACGACTCAGATGTCGACTCAGATGAGGAAGAGGAGGAGATTAAAAAGTCAATGTTGAAAGAAGACAAGGGCGAGGAGTTCAACTCTACGGAATTACGCAAGTATCAATTGGAGCGACTACGCTACTACTATGCTATTTTGACTTTCTCGAGCAAGGATGTGGCGAAGCATGTCTACGATTTGGTCGATGGCGCCGAGTATCTGTCGAGCGCAAACTTCTTTGACCTTCGTTTCGTCCCCGACGACACCGACTTTTCCGATGATAAGCCTCGTGACGAATGCAAACGGATTCCAGATGGTTATCAGCCTAATGAATTCGTGACCGATGCGCTGCAGCATAGCAAAGTTAAGCTGACCTGGGACATGGAAGATAAATCACGAAAGGAGGCTCAAGCACGGGCGTTCCGAGGTAGCCGAAAAGAAATTGATGAGAATGACTTGAAGGCTTATCTCGCCAGTGATAGCTCCTCTGAGGACGAGGATGAGGATGGCGGAGTGGAAGTTGTGGATACTACAAAAGATGACGGCGGAAGTTCTAAGAAAATCTCAAAGAAAGAAGATGAGAGACAGCGTATGCGCGCTCTCTTAGGACTGGGTACGGAGCCAGCACCTTCCTCTAAGTCCGACGGCCCTGTTGGCGAAATGGAAGTCACGTTTACCTCGGGCCTGGCCGGCGGCTCCAACAAAGACAGCATTTTTGAGAATGAACCCGAGAAAGACGAGACTACGATCGAGAAATATATTCGCAAGGAGCGTGAGAGGAAGAAGCGGAGAAAGGAGAAGTTGAAGGCGACCAAGAAGGGTGACACTGAGGCCGATGAACAGGTTGATGCACCTGAGCCGGAAGAGAAACCTCAGGAGGAAGATCTGGGCTTCAATGATCCATTCTTTGACGACCCCTCTGGTAAGGAATCTGCTGCAGCTCGCCGCAAAGAGGAGAAACGGAAGAAGCGGGAGGAGCGTGCTGCGGAGGAAGCTGCAGCCGCCGCTAAGCGAGCCGAGCTCGAGCTGTTGATGATGGATGATGAAAACAAGAACATCAAGCACTTCGACATGAATGAGATCGAAAAGGCAGAGAAACAAGCCCGTAAAAAGGGCAAGGGTAAGGGCAAAGGCAAGCAGGCGGCACAAGTGGTGGACGACTTCCAAATGGATGTCAGCGACCCGCGTTTCGCTCGTTTGTTCGAGAGCCATGAATTTGCTATTGATCCTACCAACCCTCGCTTCAAGGCGACATCTGGTATGAAGCAATTGCTGGACGAAGGACGCAAGCGACGTAGGAACCGGGACGACCGTGCGGACGAGGAAGAGGTCAGCCGCAACGATCAGAAGAAGACAAAAAAGCAGAAGAAGAGCGAATCCACTGAAGGTGGATCAGAGGATCTGAAAAAGTTGGTGGACAAAGTGAAGCGGAAGACACAGAAGAGTTGATTGGTTGTATGATTAAGGCGAAGATCACCAAAATTTAGGGCAAACAGTCTACTAGATTCGGATAGAATAAGCATAAATTAATTTCCTTCGTTTTACTTTCCTCCTCTCTGTGTTGTAGAGAATGTGGAATTGATATTCAGTTCAGACATATTTTGCCTTGGTCGGGGGGTTTAGTTTGGTCATAGTATGAGATGCAGAAACGAACCAAGGAGATAATCTCACCTCAGCCCCTCCTCTCTACGCTGTACGTGATGGCTGCAAGCCTGTCTGGACGTTGTTTCCCCCCCTCTCCCCAGATTAGGAAAATGGCAGGGAAGCGGGACGCATTTATGCAGGATGAGGTGTAGTGTAACGGGTTGGGCCAACGAATGCCCCATGCCCGTGATCGGCGATGAGGCTGAGGATCATGTGTGCCCTCACCGCCCTTTCATCCTCGATTTACCCTCACTTTAGCTTCTCTTTCTCTCCCTTTCCCCATTCTTTTCTTTCCCTCTTGTTCTTCTCCCTCGTGGGTGTTTTCTTGTGTCTGGTGGAGCCTGTCACATCCCCCTCCAATTCCCTGCCTCTGATCCCACGCTACCCCTCAATTGCTTTTTTTTTCTCTCCCTTTCCTTTTCTTATCATTAGCCAAATCAAACAAATTTCCCCCCTCCTTCCATTGCAAAGTGACTTCACTACCCTCTTCTTTCATTCATTCTTTCATTCTACCCACCCAAAGTAACACCAGCCTTCTGTTCAACCATTGCATGTTTGTCGATCTGCTCATTCGATCATGATTGCTTTCTGGTGTGATTGAATCATGGGGAACTGCAGTTCAAGATAGTTTAACTGTCTGGCTGTTGGTTGCCTGTTTTCTACTTTCATCATTGTCAACAACATTGTCCTTTGCGGGGACGGCCCTTCTTCTCTTTGACTGACTTCTCTGTTTCTTTCCCTGCATACGGATCCTTGCCTGTCACCATGCTGGGCCGGTTACTAAGTACTGCAGCTTCCACATTGAACCCGGCGGCTTATTCTGCAAAAAATCCTCATCAACTCGAGTCCGTCACCGAGGAAGAGCATACCTCTGGCCTTCTATTCCCTGATGCAAGCCTTCTCCGTCGCTCGAATACACACGCTTATCCTCTTCATACGGCTTTCAATTCCCCGAATGCTTCTACCGCCGGTGCCTATGATGATCGGGGAGGGGTTGACTTGGATCCTACTAAGGACTTTCGTGTAATCATCGCTCAGAATGCGCTTGGAGATAGGGATGCTTGCGTGCTACTGGATACTCGTGCTAGTTCGGAGCCTGCCACCTATGGCCTTGGACTGGAACCTCAGGCATTTGAAAGCTCGGGCATACGGCATGCTCGTACGGTCTCGAATCTGACCCGGGGACCTCGACGAGGCTACTTGTCTCAGTCATCGACAGTGGAACCAAGTCCGCTTTCCTTTGCTGCAGAAGCCCGCAGATCTCCACCAATGTCGTCTGGTGCTTTTATGCGCGCCCGTGGTCGCAGCTCCACGTTATCACCCGCTGGCGGCCCTCACGATCCTGGTTATTCGCGTCATTCGACGGATTCGAACGATGCTGGTCTATTGAACTGTATCTTTGGCAGCAGTGCATTCAGCTATCGAGGATCCTCTACCAAGATGCACATTATTACTGCCGATGACGAGCCTGGTAGGACTGCGAGCGCCTCTCCCGCCTCCCGCAATTCTTTTACTCGAGCCTACACTACCGGGAGTTCATCGGCCTTCGTGAATTCGAACCGCGGGAATGACGGAAAACCACCGTCAAAAGTGACCATTCTTGTAACGCGGATGTTTAGCGTCAATCTGCCGGAGGCGGGTGAAACCTCTCCAGACAGACAAGACCTTGCTGCTTCCTTGTATCAAGAATCACTTCCAGAATCCGGCTTCCCGTTCCCCGACCTCACTAAGCGCAAAAAGATCAAAGAGAAGAAAACCCCAATGTACGCCGTGGCGATCACGATCCAAATCCCTCTTCTGGGTCGCAATGTCGGTCGTCCTGTTTCTCGGTTCAGCAGCCAAGGCTCTGACTCGCCCAAGCCAGGGATGTCGTGCTCGTTAGATTCAGACTACCGCTGGCGCACTGGGTTCTTAGACGACAGTTTGTCACTTGCTTCCCCTCCAGCAAGCCTGGACGAAAGAATTGATTTGCTAGTGGACCACTGGGATGTCGTTAACCGCACCTTGTCGCATCTGGAGAGACTCTCGCGGAAAGAGATCTTATTCCTCCTGAAAAAGGTGGATTCATCGTCTGGAATACACCCGAAGCCAGCTAAACCTCCGAATATGCAACGAACAAATCAAACTATAATTCACTTGCCCGCGAACATCTTAGCGGTGAATTCAAAGCTTCGGGAAGAGGCTATTCGCAGTACCCGCCGTATCAGCACCGCTCTTCAAACTCCATATGTGGTAACAGGACAAAGTCGGTGGGGCGTATGGCGCGAGGAAGGCCGTTCGATTGTTCGCAGTCTTGGGGACAAAGACCACAGTTTCTTCTTCCTGGTGCTCATTACCGCGTTCTTAGGGAATCACACAGAGTGGCTCAACGCACTAGGCCCAGAATGGTGGCGACGCCGGCACTACATACAGCAGAAGGCCCAACAACAGGACTCTGATCCAATCCTAGCGAACCGTACTGTAATTATTTCCCCCGACAAGATGACTGCTCGTCGGCTTATATTTTTGCTCTCTGCGTTTCTTCCCCCCAAGCAGCGCTTTGAGCCTCTTCCGTCACCCATTCGACCTGGCACCTCTTCCTCAATGCGTGCTGTCTCACAAAGTCCGCCCAATGTCCCCGTCCTACGGCAGGAGTCTCTGCGCAGAGCCATCGAAAGACGGTCTCGTGCACAACGTTTGAATCTCGCTGATAGAGATCAACACCAGCGATCTGTGAGCGTGTCATCAAGTGAAACCGCACACCGCTCAACAGATGATACCGAGACCGCTGTACCAATGGAGTTCGCAGCAACCAGGAGAGGGTCCGATGCACGTTCCATTAGAACATTAGGGGTCCCTATACACGCGAAGGATGCGCGCAGCAAGAACACCAGCACCGCAACAACATCCACTGCAACCCCTGGTAGCACTGTTCCTGTCCCGCATTTTGCTTCACAGAGTCGGTTAGAACGGGATAGGCCGGACCACTCAATGCATGAAGGGGTTGATAGCCTGGCATCTGAGAACCTGCTGAAGAATTTGAAGAGGAGTGAAAGTTCGGTGTTGAGTACTAACAGTAGTGTACCTTCAACTACTGGCCGATGGGGTAGCCTGTTCTCTGGATTATGGAGCTCACGCCAGGAGTCATCCGCCGGAAGCAGCGAAGCCGTTTCGCCAGTTGAGATCCGCAGGCGCTCTGTCTCTGGATATACACCGCTGCCGAAACGAGGTCCTCCTACCTTAAGTCAAATGGTAAAAGAGGTTTCGACTGAAATACCTGAAGAAGTGCCTAAAGTAGCCACAAGTGGCAATATTTCCATCCCTCACTCCAATACTCAACATCTCGAGGAAGATGTGCCGGATCTTTCATTACCGGTTGGTCATAACAGAGAGTCTTCTTTGAAATTATCCGTACGGGGCGATGACGGAATTGTCGACGTTGACCTTCCGTTGCCTGGCTTTGTCTCGCTTTCTTCATCAGGTGACTCTACCATGACATCGCCGAAGAAGACGCGGACCTCAGTAACTAGTGTGGATGCCGTAGCATCTACGCACAGCAGTGGCTCAGGCTTCCCTTATGCGCCTAGAGAAAACGATGGGCCTAATATCAATGTTGCTGGCTGGCTGAGGAGCTTTCATGAAGACTTTCTGCTTCAAGCAGTACGGCCTTATTCAAGCTTGGAAGCCGATGTGAAACGCGCAATGCAAGCTGAGCCTACCCCAAGCCATGCTTTTTCCTCTGAAGCGGATGGGTCGGAGAGATGGGTAGATGTGGCTACGACGCTAATCGCTGACGCAAGAACTTTCACGGTTAAGCGACTGCGCCTCAGACGGAAAGCTATCAACAATGTCTTTTGGCGAAGCCCTACTCCACCTCCCATTTCTCAGCCTGGTACCCCTCGTCACATCCCTGGAGGTTCTATTTCGTCTTCCAGCAAAACATCTACTATCTCTCCCATAGAAGGTTACGAGCCCGACGAATTCGAGGAGCGTTTCGTCGAAGAACCAGTCATGGATCTGGACGGCACGCTGGTTGATGCACTTGAACGTGTTCTTGCTCAAAGCGGCCCATCGTCTTTGGCTCACTCTCGGGCACCGTCTCCGTCGCGGGCTCGCAGGGGCGATGATAAGGGCACATCAGACGCAGCGAATCGGGATGAGGCCCAGGTTCCTTCTCTTGAGGTTCCTCGCACTGAATGTCGCAAGCTCGTCCTGGGGGCACTTGAAGAAGTTGTTCGCAGTGTGACCACTGAGCATTGTCGGGATGATGTTGACGGGGAGCTTGCTATGGCAGATAGGGAACGCAAGCGTTCATTAGCTGGACCTGACAATACGTTGAGAGAAGGTGTGCGCAGGTGGCTTCTTGACGTTGAAGAGGCTTGGTGATTCTTTTTTCTTCTCTTTTCTATCTGATTTTCCTTCTAGCCTAGTCTTTTTTTTCTTCTTACTTTTCAAACATTCTTCACATCCCTAGGTCTGTTATAAGATGGATGCTAGTGTTTTGCTTTCGGCAATTTCCATATTCACAGACTTATCTCTCCTTTACTTCAAACACGGGCGGAGCTTCCTGGTTCATCAACATCAGAGCCGGAGTTAGTCTGTGGCCAACTTTGTTATTGTTTTCTGAACATCATGATACCCATGTGTTGTGTTTGTTTTTCTTGCCAGTCTTGTATTTACGACTCATGATTCACCATTGCCATGAGTGAAGCTGTGAAAGTCTTCTAGCTAGCTTTTATGATTATTCTGCGTCAACTTTCAACCTAATACATACTGAAGTCAGCAAGAGATTGCTGCTTGTACAGCTTTTCCCAGACCATCTTGGATGCGATCCATCCTACATGTCCTATCCTCACTGTGCCACATCCAGAGGAATCTATTGAAAACATGTCTCGATCTGTCTCAATTCATTCAATACACTATCAGAGCACGGATCTTAAGGATCTGCCAAATCGGATTCAGCCAGTTGATATAACTCTCTACCTAAATCACCCATAACCCTGTATCACCAATGATGCCCCCCCCCTCCAGTTCAGGAGGGCCAATCATTTCAAACCAGGCGATGATATTATCTGTGATGGTCTGTCCATCCGCATTAACCCGTGTCTCCCGGACAACGTTGCGCTCAGTACCCAGGTATATCAGACGTAAACGTCCGTTTGTCTCAAAGGCCTCTTGGCCTGCGAGAGGAATATATCTTGCCATTTGATGTGCGGAGGAAAGCAGCTCAATGAATCGATGTGGATGGATGGGGGAAGATGAATTTAGCCTAACAGGCACCTGATCATATTATACTGAGTATTATAAACATATTGTCTATTCAGCGCGCATTGTTCTAAAGGTCTTCCTGCCTTTCTTTCCAACTTCTGTCGGGATTGCTGGTAGAAAGAATGCTATTGCATTATCGGCCGAGATACAGAACCCTAGACGATGAACGATTCTCTATGGCCAGCGACTCACCCCATTTATTATTATGTATTGCCCGCCACCTGATTTCTGGTCACGTTCAATTCAGTAATTGGGTGGGTGAACACCTGCGAATCCCGGCTATCATTTATTCCGGTTTATTTCTATTATTCTTTTTCTTTATATATATATATATCTGTTTGGTGGAAACTCTGGATAACGGGCTCCTTCGCAGGCCAAGTCCCTTGCGCCTTGTTATATTACACACAAGGCTGCTTGGTGATAGTAGTGGCTTACCTATCCATGATACTATAGACTTTGCTTCTTTTGAACATGGGACTACATATTGTCAAGGCACTGGCATATCATACTAGTCAAAATGAGCACATTCTACGTTCATGGCAATAATAAATCTAAAGGTCTATAGTATAGAGACTAATGTCTCACCAGAACCACCTTCACTTCGGCATCATCGGCAACTACCTCGCCGTCTTTCAGGGTAATCTTCACAGTCTTTAACACCTCATGAGTCTTGCTTGGATCAACGACCTGTACCGCCACTTCGTCCGACGGCGATCCATTAACTAGCACCTCGAGGCCATTCAGCGCATCATCTTGTGGCGCCTTCAGTTTCGGGTTAATCGGAGTGACCGAGCCCGGCCTAATGAGGATTGGAAGAGTATCGAATCCATGCGTTTCTGTGTACCACTGGCCCGGCTCGTAGGTTTTGCTGTGATCGAACCATGAGATCCACTTTCCTTGAGAATCCTCGGGAGTTCGAGGCACATAGAAAGTGACGGTACCCTCGTCCGTGAAAACGGGAGCAACGAGCAGATTACTGCCGAACATGTACTGTGTATCGAGCGGGTACGTATTCAGATCATCCGGGAACTCGAGAAACATGGGTCTCATGAGCGGGGTACCCTGGTCATGGCCTGTGAGGGCTTCAGCGAGGAGGTAAGGGGTGAGGAGGATCTTGCGTTTTACGCAGTCACGGAGGACGTCCGAGCAATCCTCACCGTAAATCCAGGGGACTCGGAAGGAGGAGGATCCGTGGAGACGGGAGTGTGAGGAGAGGAGTCCGAATTGGACCCAGCGTTTGTAGAGGGCTGGTGGCGGGGTGCCCTCGAAGCCGCCGATGTCTGAGGCCCAGAAGATGTAGCCCGAGAGCATGAGACTGAGACCACCACGGAGGGACTCGGCCATGGCTTCGTAGGTGCTTTCGCAGTCGCCACCCCAGTGGACAGGGTAGATTTGGCCTCCAGGGCTGGTGCTGCGAGCGAAGAGGAGGCTGTTGGACTTTCCGTAACGGTCGGTCATAGTCTCGTAGACGACTTTGTTAAAGAGGAGGGTGTAGTAGTTGTGCATGCGGGTTGGGTTGGATCCGTCGTGATACTGGACGTTTCTATAGGGGATGCGTTCGGCGAAGTCGGTTTTGAACGAGTCGACGCCCATGTCCATGAGGCGTTTGAGGTGGTTCGAGAACCATGTGCAGGCGGCAGGATTTGTGAAATCTACAACGGCCATACCTGCTTGCCAGTAGTCCCATTGCCAGACCGAGCCATCGGTACGCTGTGTCTTTGTCAGTATGCGTTTTCAATATATCTCCATTTTGAGTGAACGTAGTGGGGTCATACCTTGATGAAGTAACCGTTCTTTTTGCCCTCTTCAAACAATGGCGATGCCTGTCCAACGTATGGGTTGATCCATACACTGATCCGGAGGTCGCGCTCCTTGAGTCGCTGAAGGTAGCCTCCGGCGTCAGGGAACATATCGGAGTCGAACTCGAAATCGCACCATTGATAGGACTTCATCCAGAAGCAATCGAAGTGGAAAACGCCCAATGGGATATCCCGGTCCCGGAAGCCATCGAGAAAGCCGGTGACGGTTTGCTCGTCGTAGTTTGTGGTGAAGCCTGTTAAAATGAAGATGTTCAGCGTTTAGAGGCCAATGTTAATAGAAGGGAGTCTACGTACTGGTAGTAAGCCACAAATTGTAACTCCAGGATGGAACCAGACTAGGACGGCCAGTCAAGGCCGTATACCGTCTGATGATCTCCTTGGGGGTATTTCCATAAACCACAAAATATTCCAACTCTTCACCGGCAATCGAGATGTTGGCTCGGGTAGTTCGCTCTGACTGCAGCTCCAGGCTGACTTTGCCAGGGTTGTTAACAAAGACCCCATACCCTTTGGAGCTAATATAGAATGGGATGTTCTTGTATGTCAACTCAGACGATGTACCTCCATCTTCGTTCCAAATGTCGACACTTTGCCCGTTCTTGACGAATGGACCGAACCTCTCTCCAAGGCCATATAGTTTCTCGCCAACCCCGAGATCTAACGCAGCAAGCATATATCCCTGACGCTCAAAGAAGATCCCATCGTCCCAACGAGACTTCTCTGTAGTTTGATCGCCAACATAACCGATGGATCTCCAGGAGTGACCAGTGAGCTTCCCTTTAGCGCCGGAGAACACGAAATCCAATTCGTTGGGTGCTGTATTGATGGCCAAGTTCAAGGGGCCACTGCCGTAGTTCAGCTTCACGCTCTTCTCATGGTCAATCTTGGTATGACCAGTTGACGAGCTCAACTGATAGTGGGGGCCGTTATCGACTTGTCCTGCCCTGGATGCGACGTGTCAGTGACTGAGCGAGGAGTGGAAGAGCCAATGCTGCTTGTTTCTGAAACAATCCGCACTTGAATGAACCTACCAGTGAACAAGTTTGACGCCGATAATTCCTTCCAAAGGAGACGTTACGCTTGCAGTGACGGTGGCTAATTCCGACACTTTTGTTAGTTTTTGTTCAACCCAAATCAACCCGGAAAGAAACCAACCTGAATTAAGCGTGTCACCACGGTGCCTCTGGAATTTATTCAATAATAAGTCGACTTTCTCATTGTTAATGTGCAATCTCTCGACATTGTTCATCCAATCAATTCGAATGCCTTCCTGCGAGATCGTTAAACCACATTGATTAGGAGGTAATTGCAAGTATACTTACGCGCAGGCGCCACATCCCCTCGGTGAACTTCATTTTTGCGGTTCTGAGGGGGGATTAGGACCGAATAATTGTCGGCTGAATCTAGAAAGTCCACTGGTCAATGGCCAATGCGTAATTAACGAGTCGCGCTGCGCAAAGAGACAGAATCCGCTCGATGTATTAAACCCAGTGGAGGTATCTCGTATTAGCGCATTTGCTTGTAGGACGTTCGAGCTCTTCATTTCAGAGAAAGGGAACATCTGGCTTTAATAAGAACACGTCCGCTTAGTCGATTGACACTCCCCAGTCGTCTGATGGTGACATACTGAGGCGGGGTAGCTCTGGCCGTCGCCTAAATAGAATCGGACCTTGTCTTCGAGGGGTTTGGGATTGATAGTGCTTCAGACTGATTGCGCCAATCATACTGGGACGTAATGGACCGCTAAACTAGCTGCGAAACGGGCTGGGGGGTATTAATTAACCTCATTCTGCCTGGCCGGGTAAATGAATTGAACCGAGCATACGAAGTAGTCTTGGTGCATCCTCTCTTGGCGGAGCGGGTGGAAAACCGAATAAATCCTTTGCGTGTTTATTGTAACAGGAAGGTCACACGTGCTAGCCTCGAGCCTGGGGCAACCAAGCCGATGTACATCACGGTATGGTGCTATAAGACAAGTAGTGCATGGAACAATAGTATATATTATGTCTAGGCGCTAAATACGTCTGCACATATCCGTAGCTAACTATTATGTATTCAAGTTTTCCCAAATCCTCAAGGGGGACTTTTCATCAACCTTCATAACTGTATTTCCATGACCGAAACTGCCTTTCATGGGCCGGGGTATAGGACTAACGCTCTATGTTAGAGAAAGTGGCCTCAAGCTGCCGCTTCTTGGACTGCCTTTAGGCATATTACTATCATCTCGCGACAGACGCCTCATCTCAGACAATGGCGCAGCGATGTTTTGTGAGGATCTTGATGCTAGACCAGGTGGGG